CCTTTCGTTCATTCTTTTGCTTATCCGTTTATTTGTCATTTCATTTACCCTTTTGTTCATTCTTTCATTTACTCTTTATTTCCTTAGAAACTAAATATCATCTCATATTTCAATCATTGAGAAATTTGAGTTCCAAAACCAGCTCTAATCAGGTTTTTTACACCTATTTAATTTGCTCAATCATGTTATGTATAACGATAATGGACTTACTTGTACGTAATGTACATTTAAAAGTGTGAGTTGCGTCAGAAAGGTTACTGAGCTGAAATAGGACAATTCAACACTAATAACATCTAAAATATCCAAACTAGAACACAATAACCAAACCCTAATATTGTTAAGGCTATGATCGAGGCATGGTTATGATGAACTGGTCACATGTTTATGTGAATGACCGTGTGAAGTTGTTTCCATAAAAATATTATGACAAAAAATTCACATGATCATATAAAGGTCAAAATTTTTATTTATTTATCAATTTAACTTAAGAAGTTTTTTTTTTTAAAAAAAAACAATCAAATTCAATACTTTTATTGAAGAGTAATAATATCCATGTACCTATTAAATTCTTAAAATTGATATAGCACTTAACAAAAAACAAATTTGTATAAAAGATGAACACAACTTCCTGATTATTAAATCAGTTTTTCGGGAAGTAAAGTATTTTCATGCAAATTCTTTAATAAAATTCTTCTGTCATATTTGTCATGTCCTTTATAATTACCAATAATAATAGGTTCAATCCACTTAAAATTAATTCAACATTATTAGCACAGCAAGGAAATAATTTTAAATGAATTAAGAACCATCTTTCGAATTTAACCCTGCGCTATAATTAAATAAAACAAAATTAAAAATAAATAATAAATATTTTTTAAAAAATATTTATGTTGTACATTGGAATGGAATCCCGATAGGTTTAGAATCAACTTAAGTTGAAACTGAATTACAAATGTAGATCAAGTTGCTATGAAATTCGAATCGAACTTAAGTTGATTCTAAATTAATTTTAAGCATATCAGATAACGTAATTAATGATGTCAGAAGTATAAAGTTAAATAAATTAAAATCATATGATTCATTCTTATAATTTTATAAAGTACTCTTTTATTCGTTCTTGTTACTCTTTTTAGTAACTTTAATATACAATGGTTGAACCGCAGGCTTATTCATTCATGTCTCGTAGTGCATTTGGAATCTTTGCTATTAAAATGAACTCCGAAGCATTGTTACACAAGATTTTTATTATGAAAAACATTGTAAATCTATTTTTAGAAAAAAAAAATTCATAGCAAAGACCCCATTTGATAACTTGCTTATCAAATTTTTTGATAGTAAATCAGTTAACAGACGGCGCAAAACTTTTATTACATGTGAAGATTTCGATTTTTGCATTATGATTTTACAAAACCCAACAAACACAAAAATCAGGACTGCTAAAGACCATCATTGGGCAAAAAAAATGTTCACAATATGGGATCTTGGAACTCCAGCAAACCCAATTATTCAGCTTATTAAAGTAGAGTCGTATTTGCCAGTATGCTCTGTTGACAAGATATACAACATGTTGTGTAGTTTACATTAAGGGGTTTTAAAACATGTTGGTGCATTAAAGCTCTGGGAAGCGGTATAATAAAATATATATATTTATCATTATAAATTAATATATAAGTAATATTAAAAAGGAACATGTGATAGTTATTTTACTTTTTCAAATATTGATATGTAAAAAAAAATTAAAATAACTATTACGGGTTTTTTTAATAGTGCTCTTATATTCATGAGTTGATACGATATTAATTAGTTTATTTTTTTATAGGTTTCCGAACAATGCTGTTATATTCCATAGTCTTTTGTTAAGGAATTCATAAAAAACTGCACAACATGTGCAACAAGAAGTTTTCCAAATCCAGTTGCTGCAAGGCTGATCATCTCCAATGCCTTTCTTAATAGAGTTCAAATTGATTTAATTTCTATGACCAGTATTCCCGATGGTGACTATCATTATATATGTCACATGCAGGATCATTTCACAAGGTATTCTTGGGCGCAGGCTCTAATCAGCAAACGGCCAATTGAAGTGGCTGTCTTTCTTTTTGATGTATTTGTTTGCTTTGATGCTCCAATTATTCTTCAGTCTGATAATGGTCGAGAGTTCACAGCAGAAATTATTCGTGAGTTATTGACAATATGACCAGATGTTCACATAATTAATGGGCGTCTAAGACACCCACAGAGCCAGGGATTAGTAGAACAGGCCAATGATATCCTTCAACAAAAGGTATCAAAATGGATGGAGGATACACAAAAAACAGATTGGTCTCACGCTGTGCTGTTGTGTTGTTGTAAGCTCTTTTTTTTTTTTTTTTTTTTTTTTTTTTTTTTAATTCAATTTAATTTATTTTTTAATAGATGCAATGAATGTACAACTATCTTGACAAACTAAAAAGTAGTCCATATACATTGGTATTTAGACAAAACCTTTTGCGGTATTTTTATTTACTAAGGGAAATCAAGAAACAACACATTAATTCCGAAGATGAACTACCTGAAAACTGGTTTGAACAACCTGAACCCCACGATAATATAAATCAACAAAAAATTTTAGAGTCATTGTTAGGACTGCAGCTTTAAACGCAGAGGTATATATGTATAAAATTTTAATTAATAAAACTATAAAAGATCATTGCAGATGCACCAATCAGGCTTCCTAACAATCGACTCTTTATAAAATCACCTCCTGTGAACTAACAAAAAAATTTTAACAAAAAATTTTAGTGCAAATTATCTGATTGGTGCATATTGTCGATCTTTCATGATATTTTAATTATGCATGCATAAAAATGTGTAACCATTACTAATTTTAAATATATTGTACATATGTATTGTACATATATATTTAGGAGCAAGAATTATTAGATAGCATTAATAATGAATTAGAAAGTGACGAAATAGATAATGGAAGTGAGAATGAAATGGCAGATGAAATAGTAGATGAGATAGTTGATGAAATGGTGAATGAAATGATGGATGAAAGAGTAAATGAATAGGTAGATGAAATAGTGAATAAAAGAGTAAATAAACGGGTATATGAAATAGTGGATAAAAGCATGGATATTTACGAAAGTGCAAATGAAAGTGTAAACGAAAGGGTAAATGAAAGTGCAAACGAAAGGGCAAATGAAAGGGCAAATGAAAGGGAAAACGAAAGGGCAAATGAAAGGGCAAATGTAAGGGCAAATCAAAGGGCAAACGAAAGGGCAAATGAAAGGCCAAATGAAAGGCCAAACGAAAGGCTAAACGAAAGGCTAAATAAAAGGGCAAACGAAAGGACAAATGAAAGTTTGAATAAAAAGAGGGTGAATGAAGGTACAATCAAAAAGGTGAACGAAAAAGCAAATAAAAGGGTGAACGAAAAAGCAAATGAAAGGATGAATGTAAAGGAAAACGAAAGAGTAAATGAAAGAATGAACAAAAGGGTAAATGAAATGACAAATAAACGGATAAGCAAAAGAATGAACGAAAGG